TTGTTAAAAGGAAATTTTTTTGGGTGAATCCTTTTACGTAAAGAAAGAATTTTTCTTTTTGTTGTTGTGTATTTTTTGCCTCCAGAAATGAACATCTCTGCTGTACCATGCGATGAATTTTATGCTCGAACGAATGTAGAGACAGAAATTAATGTAATTATATACCTTTTAACTTTTTTTTTTGTTGCCTATCCTTTATCATTCTTATTGTTGATGTTATTATTATTTTTATTTTTATTCAGGTTAATCCATTTAAGCTTTTATATGCTTTAAAACATTTTTTGTGTTTAAATTCATATATAAAGAATATTCTTTTAAAACTGTAAGTATGAATGGGGTGATTTATAAATGATGGTTTTCAGGTTCAGTGCTACTGATTTCTAGCAGCCCTATGGTACTTAGTAGCAATGCAATGAAATCCGTATGACTCGATTTCATCATACAAGAGCGTAGACAGTCTGATGGGTTTTAGCTCCTTTGCCTGGCTGGTATGGCTTCTATAGAGCTTTGTATCATTGCATCATACCTTCAGATCCTACATACTTTAATTTTATTTACATCATTAGAGAATCGAACCCTTTCCACACCTCTTTTAGCTCATTCACATCTAAAGATTTTCCTTCTGTTTACTGGAAATTGTTTCTTGTGTTTAGTAACTTTGCATGCTCTTCCGAATTCTTTTCCTCGTTTTTGTCATAAAGCCCTCAAGAAAAATAAGATTCATCGTTTTTCGAGTAAAATATGTGCACATGTTAGACATAAAAATATGTTTTTTTGAAGAGAAGTAAGAGCATGGAGGAATAAAATAATTAAAAGCTTATTAATTAATGAAGATTTTATGGTAATACTTAGGGGTGGTTCGCCAATTACGTTACGACTTGGGAAAGGGAGGGAGGGGGGAGGGTAAGAAGAATTTGAGACGGTTCAAACAAAAAATTTTTTTTAAATTTTGTGACAGGGGTGGGGGGTTCAAAAAAGTCTGTTTTAAACGAACAGCCCCTTATGAAGGATGAAAGATAGATTCAGTGATGCAATAATGGACTTTTCCATTCTTCTATAAAAATTAGAATTTCTAAGAATTTAACCGTGGGTAATTATAGGGATTTAGAATTCAAAAGCTCTAAATCTACTTCAAATTTCATACTTTTTTCATGCTGAACCCTGAAGCTAACCATTCATAGTTCATCTGTTCAAAAAATTCAAATCATCGAAGCCTGCAGTATCTGAGTACCAGAAACTGAGCCATACCTCACCCTTGTTTTTTCAACGAAATCTTTTAATGACCTTCCAGACTATGAACACAAAAATTAAATAAAATTCAAATAAAACAATTTCAAACAATCTTAAAAACTAATTTCTTAGCAAAATTGTTTACATTTTATTATTTTACATTTTCATATAAAACAAAATAATATTTTCCGTCTCTCAGCAAAGAAAGAAAGAGCTAAACAACTGACAAAAAGTCATCCTCAAAACAACAAGATCAACATTTCCACGAGAACTTTCAAGCTCAAAGAATAAAGTCTACATACATAGGTAATGACAATGACAATAAAAGTTGAGGAAGAGAAAAGAAAAAAACATTTTTTATGTCTTTTTTTTTTGTTGAGCAGACGGAATGTTAATTTTTGGCATTTTCATAAAGTACACAGAATAAAACATGGGATTGTTCATTAGTGACGTCTATTGTAAAATAAGATTTTTAAGATCCACTCTCTTTAAAAGTTTCAGAACTCATGTTGAAAGTTAGACATCGATTATGATGACCCTTGCCAGGGGTGTAGCCAGGAATTTGAAGAAGGGGTTACAAAAAAAAACATATTAAAGGGAAATTTTGGGGAAAGGGGGCAATTTTGAATTTTTTTATAAAAAATCTAGCAAAATGTTGAAGTTTCTGGTATTAAATGGGTATTTGTCACCAAAATCCCCTCCCCCTAGCTACGCGCCTGACCCTTGTCTCTAAAGGCATAGTCAGGGGAGTTTTTGAGTCGATATAAAAAAAAACTTCTCATCCTTTGCTCCTGTAAGGAAGGTCACTAGTCTCTAAAAGATTGATTTCACTAATTACCATTGTATTTCAATAGAAATAAGATCTGAAACCTAGACGCAATCCCCAATTTATGAAAAACCCCCAAAGAATAAAAAAGCTCATTCTAGATTCGCCCAGTGATGTTGGTTGCCTCCTTAGAAATCTTATAAAAATTGTATATTTATGTTTTGATGGTCATGAATAAGAAAATAATATTGTAATATTTTTTTATATACTTGAATAATCAACTACTCATAAAATATAAGATAAAATGAGAGCTTGGAATGAGAATTTTCTGCCTTAATACACGAATGGTCAAAGCCTAGTCAAAGCTTTCGATATGTTATTTTCACCTTTTACATTTAAATAAAAAGGAAAATTAACCTTTCATGATGTAAAGGTATTGAAAATACACCCTGATTTTCATTTCACAAATCAAAATTTCATATTTTCCTCGATGAATATATTTTTGATCCTCAACACTCACAGGTGTGTATGGGTTTTATTTGAAGGTCAATGTTAAGCACTGACAAATCGAAGTAGAGATAAAAATGGATTTATTTAAGTGTAAAATAAGATTGAAGCGATCGAGTTGCTGCGCATTTTAGTGACTATGTTTAAATGATTAGACTAGTCAGATCAAGGCCAAGTCTAACCTCAAACATAATTAAAACCCTAGCCAACCTAATCTGGTCACTGTTTCTCACTATTGTATAGATTCACCCGCTAGCAGTAGACATAAAAAAGATGATGAAAGCCAACATTTTGCTCTACACTTCAGGCAATACATTATAAACAGCAACAAAAAAAAAACTTTTTAAAAAACACGCTTTTATCAAAAAGACTAAAAATCAAAAAGTTCAAAATAAAATAAGGTCACACTTTTAGCGAATCAGGATTTTAAAAATTTTCTTGTGACAACTAGAAATGTAACATAAATTTTTTTCAAAATATTGTGATTAAGTCCAAGAACACAATGACTCTATAAGCGTGGGGCGTAATTTAAGGATGCATTTCTTAGTTCAACTAAGTTCTTAAGTAAGAGAAGCATCAAATCTCAAAGCCGAAAATAAATAGAAGTCAATTTAATTAAATTGGTGAAGTGCTATAAATATTGTAATACATTTAAAACAGCATACGTTTATGCTCAAATTATGTGTGCTAAATGCACATCACATATTGATAGTTATTTTGCATTAATTCGTAACGGACTTGTGATTAACGGTTTTTTTGAAAATTCAAATTTTCACTTACGGATATTCATGAAAAAATTACTTGTCAATTTTTTCATCCTCCCAGAAAATCTTCAGCTTCTCTAATTATTAGTATTATTAATAATTAGTAATATTAATTAAACTATAGTGAATCATATAAATGACTTTTGAGCATTTCAAGTATAATATTTTAAACAAATCAAAATTTTATATCATTGACATTGGATTTTTTTCCCATATAAAAAAGTTTTATTAAAATTGTACTATAATTAAGCATTTTTGTGGTTCTAAAGTGTTAAAATATTGTATTGTCACCGGGAATACGTGTGTATACAAAATTTGAGCTCGATTGGAGCAATAGAAGTGGTCAAAAAATCGATTGCAAGATTTGAACGTGACATACAAAGAAACCAACAGAGCAACTCAATAAAAAGCGTGTAAAAAGAAAATAATTTGTAAATAATAGGAAAGATCAAAGAATGTTGAATATTATTTATGCTGATGATGGGAGAAAAAACAAAAAAAAGGAAGTGCGAAGGTAGGCCAGAAGAGGACACAGAAATTTTTTTTGTCATTATTTCTTCATAAAAAATTGAAGAAGGATCCTTTCGTGACATGAAAATAGCCCAAGAGATTGTATTTCCTTCATATTTCACAAATTATATTCCTTAGCAACATTTTCAACTTTTTCTCAAGTTTAATTTCATTTTAATCTTATTAAAGTCAGTAGGAAGTATGATACTGTAGAGGGGCCGCAACTTTTTCACGGAATTAATTTTTTCTACTCCTAAATTGTGGAAAATTAATTTTCGTGGAATTTCTAAAGATAATTGCGGTTGACTGGGGAGAAACACGGCATAAATTTTTTCTGTATATTAATATTTTTTGTTCGTCATGTAAAGAGGGAATAATTTGGTCCAATAATTTTCATACAAAATTAGATTATAGATTAAAAAAATATAAAAGACTCTAAGCATGGCAACCCCAACCGATATTTTGTTTTAATTTGTTGTAAGAACAAAAAGAACAGGAAATTAACAAAACAACTTCGTGACTGTGATTTTCAATATTCAATGTCAAGTTCAATTAAAATGACAATTTTTTTCGCAGTGGATAGTAAAATGTTGTAAGATATTAGTTCTGTCAAGTGGTTTCATGCTGAGTAAAAGTTTTAATTGTTTCTATAAATTCTAGAAATTTAGATAAAAATAACATGAACCGTTTCTAAATCTAGTTCCCTAGATTTATATCCACTAAATGTTAGAGCTGGGTTCGAAGTTAAGCAACAGTCAAAATTAAATTCATAGTTTTAAATAAACTAAATAGATTTGTGATTCAAACGGGTTTTGGGTAGCTCTGAAAACTATTTTAAATTTTGTATACAAAAAAAAATTATTTTTGAGCTGTTACAAAATACTTGACCCCCCCCCCCATCCTCTAAAAAGCAATAAATAAATAACCCCTTAATTCACATGCATCAAATTTTTCGAAAACTTTAAATCACAACCTTCAAAAAATTCAATGCCGCAAAATTTTTAATCAACCAACTTCAGCTCCTTAAAGCCTTTCAAAAGCAGAAGCTATCACAATAATTAAATTTCCCACATCCTTTTAACCACTTTTCTAAGAGCCACATTTTTCAACAAAATTATAGTCCCTTTTTTGTCGCAAAAAATATAAAAATAAAAATTATGGTAGATATTATGAAATTATGATGACAAGAGAAAAAAAAGTTTATAAAAAATTTTGATAATTACATTTAATTCCACATTTCGGCTAATAAAATAATTAACTTTAAAGACACCCATCACTCCTAAGAACACACAATTAGATTTTTTTTTCCTTTAAAAACTTTTTTTTTTATTCTACGGCAATATTTTATTATTTATTTTTTTCGAGGCAGTTGTCACATAGATTTACAACGTTGTAATACACACTTTACATTAATTTATTTTTCTCTCTCTATTTTATTATTTCTACTGCTGCTTGCTATTTGCTTCAACGTGATTAATTTAGTTTTTATTTTCTTCTGAGCTAAAACAATTAATTTTTTTTTTCTTTTTAGCTAAGAACTTATTTTATTTCCTTCGTTTTTCATGAAAATTTATTTGTATACATATCGTGGGGTAATGTAGAACAATGTGTGAGTACGTTAAATATGCGTGTGACAAAAACACAGTAGAGAGAGAAATTTGACTTTAATTAACACACCTTTAAAGACTATACACACTATATATTATACTATATAAATTTTTTATACTATATTTCCACTTTCACAACATAATTATACTATATGCAATATTATTATAATTTTTTTCTTTTTTTTATAGCGTAGAAATTTTTTTTCTTCCTTTAATTTTCCATTAATAACAATTCCATAACACAAATACCAAATTTTCACTTTTCACGCGCTCGTTTAAATAATTTTCTTTTTTTGTGGCGGTAAATTCAGTGTTTTAAAGCTTTTTCTTTTAGTTATTAACCTCAATATTTTTGTTTGTTGTTTAATTTGCTTTTTTATCAAGGTTTTTAGAATTGTTTTATTGATCTACTATTTTTTGCTATTTATTGTGCAATTTTGACTAATTTTGAAGCAGTTTTCAAGCGATTTTCACTAATTTTTTGCTCAATGGAAACATTTTTTCTTCATCCAATAAAAATTACGAATTTTAAAATTCAAAGTCAATTATATTCTGCGAAAAAGGTCATCAAAAACTAAGAATTTTTCTATTTCAACATTAACGATGCAACAGAAATTTGATATATTTTGGATTACATCTTCCCACAAGCAGCACAACAATCAAGATCCATTGAGCCGAAGGAAGATAAATGACTACTATCCTTTCTCTCTATGAATGTAAGTGACTATAATTTATCAATATTCAATTTAATTCTCATTTATTCCTTCCTACTCTCCAACCATCCACAAAACACAAACAGCACACACAATTTCACTTTATTTTTTTTTTTCGAGTAGGTACAAGGCAATGAAAAGGGATAGAACCAAGGCCAATTAATTTACAGAAGCAATTTAATTTAATTAGTGACCATTTGTTTGTTTCACATTATCAAGAGAGCATGCAGCTACTTGAATTGAAAATTGACCATGTCCAACTGTGAACTTTATTTTCTCGATAATTTTGCCACCACCAGTATTCACGCTTTACGACCGACACATGCCGTACGCTTTCGAGCTTCGAACAACAAATGTGCTTTCCATCCGTCTACTATCGTCTACAAGTTGATTTTCACTCACGAAATAGTTTTTATAAGTCCTTACAAATGTGGAATTGAGAGAAAATGAGTAATACGGAATGGAAAGGAGCTTTGCCAATGTAATGTTATCGTCTCGCTTTCCAGGATACAATGTCTCAACACACACAATCACGCGAGACAGTTCGTTGAGCTTTTCCAATTCATATTACGAAATTCCTTCCAATATTCTTTTTTAAAAAAAAGAATAGCTTTCACCGAATGTAATGATGTAAAATATAGATTTTTTTTTCTTGTTACTCAATCTTGTTTGCCTTTAACAGCACAGGGATGATTCCTTTTCCTTCTCAATTTCTCTCTCCCACTTGCACATTCACATATTTTTTCCATGTCATTGATTCTCTATTTTTTTTTTTATATTTTTATTCAAGTGCTGATTCTTTTTCTGTTGTTTTGATGAGTTCATAACTCAATACACACCGTTAAAGTCATGCTTGATATGGTAAATTGTTTATGTCCAAATTGTAAAATATTTTTTTATTATTTAACTTTTATTTCTTTTTAATGAGCTCCAAAAAAAATAAGTCCTGAGTTGTAAGAAATTTCACGACCGCGAGATAAAATAGAGACGTTTACCGATCAAGGTGTGTAGAAGAACTGAAGATGTGTGGAAATGAAATTTCCAATCCAGCATCTCCGGAAATGAGAAGACGGTGTTGTTGTGTTAATACGCAGAATCTGGAAACGTTTATCATCGGTCGGTCCAGTATTGGAAGGCTCTCAATTTTTTCTTCTTTTTTGTAATTGGAATATAATGAATGAATGAAAGCTTAATGATGTTGTCGATTGACAGTTTTGAAGTTTATCACATGGACTGAAATTATTGCTCCTTATCTTTGTAATTAAACTGTCAGCGACATTTAATGATTGCGTCTAGTGGAGGGGAATCGAGATTTAGTAGACTGAATCTAAGCTGGCTTATTGTCTTGACGATGGTCAATCATAAATCACGTACTCAAAACCCACAAAAAATCAATTTTTCTCAGCATATTAAAAAAATCATCAATTTCAAACGGCTTTTAAAATTTTGAATTAATACTATATATTTTTGATAATTTTCGATCATATCCACCAGTTCCACATCCATAGAACAATCCTGTTCGGGACATTCAATCATTTCAGGATGAATAAATACCAATTCAATAAGCTATTTACTGGAACATGAAGAAATGCCGTTTTTTTTCAAAATTTTACCGAAACAAGAAAATTAAATTCAAAATATCCGTTAAAAATGCTCAATTGTAAACAAATGTAAACACACGATAGAAATTGACATGAATAGGAGCTGAATACACCCTTAATTAACGACAGAAAATTTGAAATCACAATCAGTCAAAAAAAAATAAAAATTCTCAGTAACGTTTGACTTTCGATTTTGTCACAATTTTCTCCAGTTTAATTCGTTGAAGACGTGTATTTAAATAGTGATGCAAATCGGTGTAAATAAATTGGAACTTGACATTATTAGTGCTCAAAAAGAAGTGGAGTTCAAGATAAAAGTGATAGTGAAGTGGTAAAATGGAAATAAAAGTGAAAATAAGCCAAAAGTGATGAAAAAATTAAAAGTGAAAAAAAAATAAAAAATTTTCTGAGTGAACATAGAAAATTAAGAAAATTAAATTCAACAAGCTCACAATGATTCAGATTCGGAAAAAATGTTCAAAAATTCCGTGTGCACAATATTTTTCCGACACATAATAAAATTGAAAGTGTTTATTAATTTCTCTTGATTTGATTCTTTTAGTATCTTCTACATAATGTTTTCGTTCATTGCAAATATCTCGAAAACGGCATCAAAGACATGTCCTCAGTAATATGGGAGATAGATTCAAGCTTAATTAATTGATTTATATAGGTTTCAGAGAGGTCTTTGGAAGACTTTTTAACTTATGAATAGTTTAAGTTTTGTAAAAATACTCGGATTTCAATTACATTTTTAAGGCTTAATAAGCAGATTTCTATTGAGTTGGTTGTTTTAATGTGTAAAGCTAAGCTTAAATTAGCTAGCAACTGATTCCAAGACATCCAAATAACAACTTAAAGTAGAAAAAATCATATTTTTTTTTTATATATAAATTGTAAACAAATTTTGAGTGAGATTAAATTAATGATTTCTGGAGTTAGACAGCAAATAGGAACGAGATATTTTTAAAGGCTATGCATAAAGGTAAAATCTTTAATCTGGCATTTAAAAGACAAAGTTTAATTACCATGAAATTTTTGAACATTTTTTTCGATTCTGAATTGAAATTGAAGTGAAAGTGAGATTGATGAAGCTTGAAGGAACCAGGACACAATTAAAGAAGCAAGAGGCTACTGACAACGAATAAAAAGCTAAGTATACTGATAAATATGATAAGGGCGACTTTAATTTAATTGATCTCCTTTGATCTGAAACACATTCAGATTTTCAAATTCCTTTTCTTTAATGAAACCAGCCATTTGACTTCCTGCAATTGCGTACGTAATGCTTGCAATACGTGAAATGATTACTTAAAAACGCATTGCATTGAGTTTTACATTTCGTCAGCCTTTGTTGATGTAAATTAAGAGTGGGAGTCGTTGAATAGGTCAGAGGGGGGTCGATGCAAGATGAGGAGGGGTAAAACTTGAGGGAGCAAAGTCTTTTGACCCTTTTTTCAATAAGTTTTTCTGTTCTTGTTTTTTTGTAAATCGAGCCTATGAGTCATGTGTATCGGCCTGTGAGACTTACTATCGTGGCTATTGATTGTTTCATCCTTGATGTAGAGTGGCATCAAGGACATTGATTGCTTGCTCGTAAAAGAGACTTGCAATTTTTTGTCTAGATGCCTGTTCTCACACACAGCATTAGACTTACATCAGGTCCAATGACGTATCGTGTAGTTTAATGTGAAAAATGAGCCTCTGATGATTTGGGTTGTAATCAATAGAAGCTTAATTACAAGCGTCTAACCCTAACCCTAAATTGTGGTTCTTTTTCATGCTCAGGTGTGTGGTAAAGAACGTTTTTGCCTCTATCTCGGACTGTTCTGATTCAAAGCCTGAAATGTGAGCAGTAATGGAATGAAAACACGATTGATTCATTTCCTTGGTTGAAATTAAACTTGATATGATTAACTATGAAAGAAGGACCATCAAAAAATTTGTTTTTTCAGTTTAATTCCTCCTTTATCTTGCATCAGCTTCTCTCTTACCTGTCCATCGAGTTCCATCATTAATTTACATCGAGAAAGAGCAAACGCAACGTAGAACTTAATGTTGTGTGATTTTACTTAATCATTTTACGTAACGTAGGCTTTACGTGAGCCTTTTTGAAAGTTTTTCTGACTAATTTCCAACAGAGAAAGTGAATTTGATATCATGAAACTTTAATTTAAACAGCAAATCTTAATTAAGAATTAAATTTATTTTGATTTTACTAATTCGTTTTTAAAATTGCCATATATTTTAGGTTCTTTAAGGAGCAGCACTTATAGCCATCATAAAACATTTCATATGTTGTGTTATTTTCTTCACATTCGAACAATTACTCATCGTCCACACACAAGTAAGCACATAGTATGAATATTTGATACAAATTGGATTTATAAAGACTTTTTTAACTGACAAACTACAGAAAAAATGCATAGCTAGAAAACACCAAAATTGAATTTTAAATCCAATCATAATTAGTTCTTAATTGCTATTAATTATTTTTATTTTCACAATTTCATTCCCTAGTATCCCTGACACACAATACAAACTACACGTTTTTATATGTCAGACAATAATAAAAAATTCTGATTTGATTACAGGCTATAATTTTAAATCGATGGATCGATACAACTGACTAAGCGCTCTCATTATCGTTTGGAATATTAATAGTTTTAAATTTATATTTATCGAATTGATTTGAAATTGCTTCTAAGGATTTTAATCAGGTGAGTTATAGAAGTCGTGTAGAGACCATTCATGAGGTGCATTAAAAATTGAAATTTAATTTTTCAGTCATTTTATTTTTAAAATTTTAATCACCTCCAAAAATGAGACTTTTAACTTTCAAGCACAAAATGTTTAAGTTAATTTATGATATGAAATTAATGAAAATTTTAAAAGGTCTTCAAAGATTTTATTTTATAAAAATCATTGATTAGCTATTTTGTGTCCTACATTATTAAAAAGTCATTAATTCATAGTCTTATTGAATTAACTTGTTGTAACGTATTTTTAAAATTCAAATATGCTTTCAAATTCTAAGTCACCGTTAAGCAAGGTTCAAAAATTGAACTTCAAATTTATATGAGAACTGAATTCAAAATAATTCATAACGGTTTTTTGCCTAAATTAGTGAAAAAGTTCAACAATAAGGTGAATCGTATCCTTAGTCACATTAATTAACGATACTCACGTGTTATTAATCATGTATAGACATTATTATCGCTATTTTATCAAAACCTTACGTGCTCAAAAAATAACGGTTTTAAAATATTCAAAATTTTCGATGTAGGGTATTATCAACCAAAAAATTATTTTCAAAACAGCTAACGTCCCCTTGTTTACGAATATTCGCAATCAGTTTTCGGAGACGAGTTTTAGTTTAGTTTAGATTCAGAATTTAATTTAATAACAAGGACTAGTAAAACAGTGTCCAATAATATATTAAAAAGTACGTATAAATGTCCAAAGTAATATATTACAAGTGTAATATAAAAGAATATTGTGAAATGAAGTGAAAAATAGTGAAATTAACAAAAATAAATATTGCACAAAGTTAATATAAAAAACAAAAAAATTAAAATGTTGAGTTTTCGCGATTCTCTCGTCAGTTAAGAGACTTTCTGCCACTATAAATGATTAAATAATCAATAAGGAATTTTTTGATGAAACAATATATTTATTTAAGAAGCCAAAACTAGTAATTTTACATTATATTTATCGACTTTCTTTGTGATTCTCATACTTTTTATACTCGTCGATGATCTTTGATTAATGCTTGCTTGGATGTTATGACTTTGATTCGTAGTCAGTGGTTTTAATGATATATAATTGATGTTTGAAGAATTGGGCAACAAAAGAGATTGAATAATGTTTGGTCCGACTGGATCATGCTAAATTACCCAAAAACTAGCAATTTTCATCTTACTTAATGTACTCAGCACATTCTAATTACCCTAATCAGCCACTCAAAGACGAGTTTTTCGATAAATTGATAATCTGGTGATTTTTTTTTTATCAGAATAAAGCTCATTCAAGTGCCAAGTTCCGCTTACGTATAGATAGAACTACAATAATACCTTGTAAAATAATACATGACATTGAAAATGAAAAAATATATATATATATATAACACATAGAGAGGAAAAAGGTTTAAAAATAACAAATAATTGCACATAAAGTGAGTGATAATAATCGAAAAAAAGTTTATCCATCAGCAGCTAAACATTGTGTCAGACTAATAGGCTGTTTGTGTGATTGCAGCTAGAAAGATAAATAAAAACCTGTACATATAGATACATACGGAAGCATATCAGTGTAATGAAAATCAATAGGTGTATTAAATAAACAATAGAGAGCTTTTCTCAGTGCCTTACGTCATTAATTCCCTCAAGTACGTTAACTCATCGCACGTGATTTCAAGTTTTCTTCTCCGATTTGAGTGGCTTCACCTCACTTCATGATGAAATTCTTTGCACTATCTGTTCTATTTATTTATATATCACTGCTTGGCATATCCAATATTGACTCTAAGAGTATAAAAATTCATTCAAACAACTTTCCCACAATCACCATTGCATTGATTTCATCATCACCCCTCCTCTCACTCAGTTGTATGGAACAGACTTCAAAGAATGACCTAGTTTTAGCACTGCCACATGATGAATTATTGATGGATGGGTGCGAGACTGTCCATACGAAATTTCCCGAAAAAATGAATGCGTTTTTTAGTCAATGACAAATTTGTGCGCTACGCAATGGGATAGAAAGAATAATTACAATGTCGATCGTGCTGTTCTTATTAGAATCAACAGTCTTATATTCAAAAGCAGTTGTTCGTAAATTACGTCTTTCAAAAATTAGATTTTTATTGTTATTGACAACTTTAAGCTCCCTCCTCGACTCAAAAAACCAGTAATCATTACTAAACGAACCCATTAAGGGACTGCAATTCAATATTGTCAACAGGAAATTCAACTTGCGCTATCAATTAAGCAGAAAATTGATACATGTGCAGGGGATTACCAACAATAACTTTCTATCAATTTGCTTGACATGACATTTTATTTTCTTTATCGACGGAGGAATTTTTTCAAGTATTTTTGCAAACAGCGATTAATTTAATTCATATCTTATCAACAATTGTGTTTAATTAAGCAACTCCATAGTCGTGTAAAAAATCTAAAATTTTGTGGTTTGTTTATACAAAGTTGATGATTTTAAATGCACGCAGTGTCATAATTTAAATAAACAAAGCTTGCTGACTGAGCAAGAAGTGATGCAAATTTTTTTGGGGTGATTTTGACACTTTGCAAAAAAATTGTGACAAGAATAAAAGTTGTTGAGAATTTCAATGAGATTCATCTTTAGAGAAAACATCTCAAAAAAATATTTGAGTGCTCATAAATTAGCAAATTCAGTCTTATCGATTTAATTAATCATTAAAAAATATTTTCATGGCATAAAAAATGCTTTGAGTAGTTAAAATTGCACTTATAGAACAAAGAATGTCTCTATCAAATTTATTACCGATAAGCTTTTATCTTTCGACTTAAAAGTGCTTTTTAGTTATTTACGGAAACCCCATATCTTGTTTGATAACAGAACAGCAAAATTTAATCCCCACTATGAAGTGGGTAGGCAAAGGTCTGTGCATGAACACATAAAAAATTTTGTTTATATTCTTCGTGATTGTAAATTGTCGATTAAGAAAGCGCATTTTCTACTTTTTGGCTGAGATGAAGGACTGAGTTTTTCTTTATTGTAGCATTTAAGTGTCAGCTTGGTTCAAAAGACACTTAATCATGCCATCTTAAGTAAGCAGGTCAACTTAATCAGAATTCCAAGAAGAATCAAACAAGAATCTGACATAACAGAGCTTCAATCAAAACAGCAGTCCAAGTTCAAGCTGATTGTCAGACTAAATGCAGTCTCTTACTTCTTACTAATCCACAAAAAGTAGCAATAAGCAAAAAAATCACGGATAACAGTAGCAAAAAAAAAAAAATATAAACAAAAAGTAGTCAAAGATACAAAGATAATGGCAAATGGAAAACAAGCGAAGCAGGAAAGCCCATGGAGATAAACAAAGAGCATTATTTGTTTACTTTGCGTTAGACAAATGACTATGACTTTAGGACTGAATAACTTTAAGCCTTGAAAAGGGAAAAAAGAATCTACAATCCGAAGGACATCAAAGATTTGAACTTTTGTACAGATAAATGAGATGATTGTAGACGTTGATAAGAAAAACATCGCCTTGCCTTGAAGATGTGATGTTGAAACAAGTGTTTTATTTAATTTTCATATATTTTTCTTTCATTCGGTTCATTAAATGCGCTGACATGAAAGATATCAGTCATAAAATCTACACAAAAACATCAAAACAAATCAATATCCTCACATGTGATGCTCTTCCTCGACTCTTACTCATTCTATCCATTTTATTGTTATATTGCAATTACAAAATCGATCTGATATATTGTCACAACAGCACATACATGCACACACGGAAGAGAGATAAAAGAGCTCAAGTGAAATGAATCATAAACATGCGCGTGTGCAGCATGAGCACATTTTAACCCTCTTTCCTTCCCTTTTATTTATGACACTCAATATTATGGTCATATGTGTGAATTTAAAATGTGCCAATAACTGCTTCTATAGACCTGATCTTTTGTTGACTGAGACAATATTATCGTTGCATGTCTTATCATTTAGCAATCAGTCGTCACAAATTCAATATTCTTCGACACGGGTTCATTTTATTAGTCGATGTGATGAAAAGGAAAAAGAAATGTGCTCTGTCGTGAATTTTTAATGCAGATTATGTTTGCTATGGTTTCGAATAGATCAGATATAAAAAGGGAGAAGATGATAGGGGATGTTTGGCAAATAAGCTTGACATTGACTTTGAAATTTAATTCCAAGCATCTTGTGAGCAGAGTTGAAGTTGGAATTTATCATTGACAATGATTTTGTAAAGTCAACTGATTCTTACTGTTAAATAAAAGTTGGTGGAAAGAGCTAATTAGCTTTTTACCAACTTTACGTAATTATTGAAATTATAGGCTGACGTGAGTTTAATATTTTATGTGGATCAAGGATTTGGGCAGCTTGCCTCGTTTTGAGACTGCATCACATAGCTTACATGTTGAAGGTTGTAATAATATTGATCTTTATGTGCTAGGACTTTGTTACTTAAAAAACTTCCTAACAACTTGTTTCAATCCGGGGATGCGATGTTCTTGCTCTGAACAGTATCTTTGGTATAATTGTGAATGTTATTTTATTTAACTATTTTACATTATTAAGCTGTAGGACTAGGTTAAAGTTTGAAACTGAAAGTGCCATAATGATAAAACCTTCTCCTAAACTAGGCAAGGTCTGGTTACATTTTCTAAGCTAGAAGCTCTATCGCTAGCTACTGCTTGCCAATTAGCAATACTGTTTCTATTGACTGTATTTTCTAAGAACCTAGTTACACAACTCTGTATAATAAGCTTTTAAACTTCGACAGCTGATGAGAAATTTCTAGAAGACTCAACAAAACTTTTTTTTCCGTGAAACTTGATAAATTTCTGTGTGTACTTTTTCGCTTCATATCACAATATTTTTTGGCGATAAGATAAAACGATTTACACTTGCTTTAATTTAAAAAAAAACTTTACGTCATGTTAAAAAATGTTCAAAAATAAATCTAATTGTTTTCTTTATTTTCTCTTTAATTGCAGTTTATTTATAGCGCGATGCGTGTAAAATGGCAATTTTCAAAAACGCATGCATTGTGAGATAATTATGTGAGCATGCTATTAAAAATTCAAAACAAATAGATGTGTAGATAGATAATTATGATATCAAATTTATAGAAAATGAAAATTTTATTTCATTAGAAGTGCTTGAAAGTGTGAAAAAAAGGAAAAAGAAATTTTATTTAATATTGAGTGATTAGCAAGTAAGCACGAATTATTCGTGTGTTGTGTGTGATTATTGAATTATTTAAAAAAATATAAAAAAAATCAAATCTCAAGGAAAAAAAAATAGCTCAAATCAAGTGAATTAACAAATAGCACTTTAAAAAAAGTGTGATAAAAAAAAATTTCATCATTTTTTTGTGAATTATAAAAAGAATTAATCTTGAGTTTTTTAATGACATTATTGGGCAGTGCCCCCGGAATGGCATTTATGATGAAGAAAAAAAAGTATAAATTTGAATGTGACTTAAATCTAGAAGAGATGATTGAAGTGCCATTTTTGAATGCTGTGCTGTTTGCAAAAATTCGTTTATTGGATGGAGGATTTCAGGAGATAAGTAATAGGTAAGTCAAGCATTCAGAATTTTTATTTATCGGAAAATTAATGTAGACATTGAATTATTTTATATATCGGAGAGAATCTTGTTATTTTCTTGAGTGGGATGGGGATAGGGTTGGCATTTTGTCCATATAAGTGTTATACTTACCATAGTCACTAATTCATATCTACTGAAATAATCTACGATATTCAGTCTTGTACTCATTTTCGGTTTAATGAGTCGAAGGCACAGCAATCTCGGTAGGTTTTAATGTCTATAATCAATGCTACTAGGCCTGTCCTAAGCCCAATATCAGTATGTAGTGTTAATGGCTAGATGTGGCTAGCTGCTGTCACAATAGTCAAAAGTTTCATAAAATTTTACAAAATTGAGTTCTAAACTGAACAAGTAACAACATAAAAAGCTCATCTAAAATTTAAAATCAAATAAAATTGTAACAAATCTGCAACCTCGATCAATCGATCCAACTCTAATCAATCCATTCAATTCTTATCCGATTCATTCTGTATTTTTCTTTTTAAAAAATAAACTCCAATTGTCAAACAATAAATGTTTGCTAAAAGTGCCACACAAAAGCAATCTGCTGTTATTTGAAGAGTCCCAAGCGACCACGTCATAAAGCGATTTATTGGTCATTTAAAATTGGTCTATATGTCTTAAAACAAGTTATGTCTGTGGTTTTACAAGATATGTATGTAGGCAAACAATCTAAACTGAGCAAATATTTGTTGATGGCATTTTAAAAATGAAATGTCAACTCTTGTCGGTGATTTTCTTACTTCCTTTAACAACATCAGAGATGAAATATTCCAGTAATTATTAATGGGAAAAATGAAAAATCAACATTAAAGAACGACATAAAATTTTATCGTCTTAGCTTCGTTAAAAATTCATATCTCCCTCATGAACAGATTTTTGTTCCTTCCTTCCTTCCTTCATAATTGACTGTTGATTTTTCATCATTCTTCCAACTTATAATTACATTTTCCATCTACTCAGACTACTTATACTCGCTTAATATACCTGCATGACACTCACTTTACTCATGATTTTAATGTTTGACATTAATCGATTTTATTTTGTTCATTACACACGTTAAGGGTGACTCTTTTCCTTGCTACATGATCGTATCGTACATATTACAACCTTTTTTTCTGTGCTATTAATCGAGAGGGTTGCCTTTTCAGACTACAAATTTTTTCCGGCATTTCAATTACTTTCCTCCACTTGATTTACATAAAACATGTGTTGAGGCTCTCGACGACAAGCATAATATAATAAAGTTTCAAGTTTATTTGCACTTTTATTAGAGTTTATATCGAAAAAATATATTTAAAAACTTGAAAAACAACATAAGTCGCCTGTCGATTATCGTCTAGAATGACAATATGCATGATGATAAGTTTACAATGAAATTATTGTTATTATTATTTTTCTCATATTTCCGTTTCTGTGTACATTAGAGATGAGTGTTGGCGTTGTTGATGGTAAACAAATTTGATTAAAATAATTCTGATACTAGGGGGCAGTTAGCTAGAGTTGGAAAGGTCTTAATCGTAGTTTATGGTGATTTTAAGGATATAGAGACTTTAACAGTGAGTTTAATGGCTTCTGTTAATTTCAGTCAACTCAAACATAGCCGTTTTCAAACTGTGGAATTTACCTTTAAGAAATAGAAGCATTAGAACCAAAGACATTCGAGATTACACACCAAATTTAAGTCAAATACCTTCTCAATCACTTGACACAGTCTCTCAATTGCTACACCCCCTGCCTACTCTCCCTACATTGATGGAGTGATATTGTGTACGACAACTTTTCATATTTTCTGTTGCCATTGGCTACAGTCATAAATGTAATTATTGAATACAAAGTTTTTTGGGGTAGCATGTAAATTTTTACGTACCAGAAAGTTCTGATTTTTGAAATACAAAAATATAAAGGGACAACTTTTAATTGATAAGAATCAAAACAAATTAAAATATAAATTGAAAAGTTATCAACATATTTATTGTGATAAGCTTGAAAATCACTTAGCGAAACTATTTGTGTTGATAACCTTACTGAGAATTTCGTTCAAGTATACTTCACTTCAGTAAGTTGTTTAATTCTTAATAACTTGTTCAAAATAGTCAATAACGGTTAAATTTATACACTTATATAAGCTATCCTTGTAGAATATAAATTATTATTATGTCATCATCATCATCATGATCATCAACAATTCAAATGAATTCAATTTTTTTTTTGCTGTGAATACTAAAAAGGTCTCGAACTAGTCTCATTTCTTTTTCTTGTTCAAAATCGTCTGCCTTCATAATGAAAAATGACAAAAGATTATTCATACAAAAATTATTTTATTTTGATAGATTTTACAGAAAAAATACACATAGAGACAAGATTTAAATGGGAATGGGTTATGCAACAGACATATACAGCATCTGCAAAAATCATTTATGCATAGTCAAATACAGTCAGATGTTTCTTGCTAGTTTGATGTTTTTGCATTGCCATTGTTTAAATAATTTTCTTTATTTGTCTGTAAATCGGATGAATTTAATGACATGCTGATGATGCAAGGTTGTTGTTGAGCATGAGTTGGAATTTTGGGGTCGGTTGCAATATTAATCAGATTTTTTTTTTTGGGAATTAAATTTATAGACTTTCAAAAAATTAATGCAAATTTTGTGTGTGCTAAGTTGTTAGTTTCAATGATAAAATTAGATATTGATGACTATGTTAATTTGAAGATCAAGTTCAACAAACTTGATCAGTATGAATTGCATTAACTGTTGCTGTTTTGGTTTTTACCTGCATGCTTCAGCTCTAAGTCGTCTAGAATTTTTTCTAAAGTCGACTTTGAGCTCTAGCTACATTATTCAGTCAAACATGACACAAACCCTAAATTCTAGTATGCTCATCCATTTCCATTTTATTTTGTAATAATGATGCTGATATACTGTATGTAGATGTATGCCAAAAAGGAACATTCCATCTGTTGTAAATGCTCTTATATATCTATGTTAAGTCATACGGCGATGAGCTATGAGAAAAAAGCTCTTTTCACTTACCAATCCATATTTTAATTACATTTTTAGATTAAAATGTATAATTTTCTGCCTTGTATATATTATTTTCATTCCATTTCTTCTTTTGCTGTCTTGACAAGCAATGCACAACATGAAAAGTTGTAAGTGCGGAGGCAGAAAATGATGAATGAACGAAAAATAAGAATGAAAGAGATGAATGAAAACAGAGAGCTTCCCAACCGTTCTATGTTTATGTTGTGTGCAAGGCCATCACTCTCTTTTTTATGTAGATTTTCTGTACTTGCCAATGTTGCTTCTGCTGTTGTTATGAATACCTAATTTCTTCTTTTTTTGCTCTATTATATTCCTGTTCACATACAAATTCATTTTTAATGAAATTATATGCAATAAGTAGAGCAATTTTGTGTGAACAGTATTCGCCAGAAGCAGCAGCATCAGTTCAGTTGGGCAAACAAAATTTTTATATTGTAAAACAAAACTGCAAGTTGTATATGTGGTAGCGTGGAGGTTATATAGCGAACCCAATTTTTTGTGGTCATTAAAAAGTATCCAATCGATTTAAAATTTTCTACACTTACGTGCTCCGCTATTGTCTACAATTTCTATTAAAGAATTTGAACTCAATAATGTGTAAATACAAAGAATTTGACTGTTGAAATGTTGAGGCGAGAAATCCGTGAAAAAAAATGAATAATGAGGTGTTATCCAATTGTCAGTAATGAGTATTTGACTTTAGACAATTTTTAAATTTATCAAAAAATCTCGTCATTAAAGCACTTTGAAAATCATACCTCCATTCCTAGATTCACTTCTTTAACTATGTCACTAACATGCATAGCTTACACTGTAAAAATCAATCTTTATGCTAATTCATACTTAATTCCATACGAATATGATGAACAAAAATTGATTGAATATTTTTAAATGTACAGCTCTAGTTCGACGGCTGTATCTTGCAATATATATGCATAGTGAGTTGTGGATGATGTAAACATACGCCAAACAAGTTTTTCACATTTTTTGTTTTCATTTTTTTGCATGCTTTGTTGCCGCTATTCAATATTATATTATATACGATGTTCATGATTGAAGTTTACTGTTGTATGCAATAGAAATGCTTTATGTCTGATTGGATCGAGTGAAAAAAAAAATTGTTTTCACCCTCACAAACATGTGTGTATATGAAAAATGAAAAATAATGTATTAATTTTTCAGACTGCAATTTGCACTGGAAATTGCAATTTCTTCATTAAAATGTGTCTGAAAAACGTGCAATTTTTTTTTCATGAAAAAAAAGTTTCTCTCCCTCATAGTTTAGATTTTGATGCATTAAAGTTCAAATAAATTACGCAATTAATGAGAAATAATTACTTGCACGAGTCACGGAATAGGGAAACAAATAATTAGTAATATAGACGCAACGTGATTTTATTTGAATTTATCCTATTTTTTTAATAGAGAAGAAATTTATTAGAATCTAAATTTTTTACGATTTTTTCTTCCTCGTTTGTCGGATATTTTAATGAAATCCAAATGGCTTGTTAATAAATTTTTTGCTGAGTGCGAAAAAATCACAAATCTTTCTATGAAAAAATTTTTTCTTCTTTTTCAATTTCGAGATCAATTTATTTCTTTTAAGTGGTTTCTCAAATTCCATCATTTTTATGTGAATTTATTTCGTTCATAATGGATTAGTTGCTTAGCGACAGACAGCGATATAGCATTAATCGTATTTACATGGAAAATTGGGCCTCGTGAAAAGTTGATATATGTGTTCATGGGAGAAGCAAGGGGAATGGGGTCTAGAGATTTATTAATTCTTCAATATGTCGAGCAAATTAAATTTCATTAACTAAAGCATCAGATGCATTTAATGTGAACGTTATTAATAATTAACACCGATGTTATTCGCGTGATTGACAATTTTAAAATGTATTAAAGCACCCACCGCCTT